ATATATATATATATACACACATATATATACCTACATATACATATCATCTCTATTATTTTTACTGTAGTTCATCATTGCCATTGTTTACTGTTCTGTCTGGAGCAGGTCTCTTGTAAATGAGTCCTTGTGGCTCAATGAAGCCAACCTGTATAAATAAAAGGTTGAATAAATCATTATGTATATATTTATATTCATTCAACCTTTATTGATACAGGAATAGGACTAATTTACAAGAGAGACCTGGATTTTAACAAAGAGTGATGACAACAGTGGATAACAAACTGTTTTTCAATTGTAAAACAAACAAACAATTAAAAAAACTTAAATTTGTGTGAATCATTTGTGAATGTGTATTGTTGTCATTGTTGTCAGTGTCTTATTATCTTGTGCTCTGGTCCAGTGTCTTCATGGACGATTTGTGTGAGGGTGGACATGTTTGGAGGTTGCTGTGTTGAAGCTCCATAAATCAGCCTCTCTGCAGCTCTCAGCACCTTCACTGAGCCTTGAGGGAATCACTGAGCTGCTCTTGTTCTTCACAGTTAGAAGGTGGGAGCTCTCGACAAATGATGATCTCCAGCATCATCTTGTTCATGCCAGGCTTTTCATCCACTGACCACAGACACCTGGAAACATCAGGGGGACCAGTAGCTGTTTAACACATCTGGAAGGAAACCAGTGAGATTTTAATATGACCATGACCAGTATGATATCATGTTGTGGGGGAGTGGTGGTGCAGAGGTTAGAAGATGGGCCTGTGATCGGAAAGTCGCAGGTTCAACTCCCGGTACCGTCAACATCAAAATGAGGTGGAAAAGGTGAAACACCCACACCTGCCTCCACCCTCATTGGCCCCACCCTGGTCCCCTGAGCAAGGCCCTTAACCCCCACCATCTGCTCCTAAACAGGTCTCTCTTGAAAATGAGTTCTTGTGACTCAATGAGACTACCTGGATAAATAAAGGGTCAATGAAAAAATAAAAGTTTAAAATAGAAATACTCACATCATGAGGTCGAGGTTGTGTGTGTGACGTGCACGTTCCTGAGGTTGTGCGTGTGATGTGCACGTTCCTGAGAGGCCACAGACAGAGCAGCTCCAGCTTTTGTTGAGTTCCTGTGGTCCTGCAGTTTTCAAGCTGAAATGAAAAAGCATCATGAATATGAACTTTACAGTCTATAGTTACCTGTTCATATAAACACATGGAGGTGTCTCACCTTGTGACTGACAATTAAATATGTAAATTTATGAACTCTAATGAACTTATAATGATGCTCCTACTCTTTGAAGGTGAACCGATGGTACCACACCTTCTCTCATTCGGACAATTGATCAGTTGGATCAAAATCCTCACTGCTCAGATGAATCTTCCTCAAAGATACTTCCACCTCTTCCTCACATCTTGTTCTTTGGGAAACCTTCAAAATGAAAACAGGAGATTTGTGTCTTCACAAAAACATACTTAACATACATACAAAAACAACTTAAACAAAACTCCATTTGTGATACATATCTCTTGATAATGAACCAAAGCTACTGAAATAGTGAGTACGTTTGCTAGAAAAATATTCCTGTCATCAGATCTCAGTTAGCTTCATTGCAGCTGAACACCGTGTTACACTGAACATCACATCAGCTGGTGGACATAAATACAGTTGTTGTGTTTTTCTTTATTTCTCCACCCGAGCTCTGTTACCGGTCAATCCTGCGGAGGAGTCAAGACACGCACTTCACAATACGACAAACGCACCTTCAAGTTTACGAATATTTAATAAGCAAAGAAAGTCACAAAGTCAAAAAGTTAAAAAGTCAAAAAGTTACAGATTCACAAGCATAAACAGTGGATTAGTTAAATGCAGTCATTATTTTAACATATTATTAAATGGATGCATCCATTCTAAACTATACAATACAACCTTATTAAGGAGGATTCTGAAGAAGACCGTCTCTCTGCTTCATCTGGCTGTCTGCTTCGTCTCTTTTCTTCGAGCAGAAACCTGCACTTTCTTTGTTTAAAAACAGGGCATTCCTTCACACAGCAAAACCTGAGCAAAACTAACTTTTCACCGCACGTTCTGAGTCTGTTGTCATGGGATTGGCCAGTTTCAAACGAATCAGAAATGTGAGACATCGTGTTACATTATGTAAACAGGAACAGACTTCAATCTGTGGGAGCCTCTTCAAAGTAAAACAGGAAGTGGGTCAATTTCAAAGTAAAACAAGAAGTGGGAATCACAGATTCAACAAAGAACACAATATTATTTCACAACACAGTACAGGAATATTATATTCACAAAATACTAACAATAATATGTTCATCTTACTTGTGAAAAGTTATCCCCCGAGACCTGACGTCAACAGTCCGTCGATTAGAACAGAAATAAGCTGCGAAGTGCTGAGACATCTTCTGCTTTAACTGAATAAGACGACCGTTCCAAGATGGCGTCCGAAAATCCTGCGCCGCAGCAGCCAATGAGGCATCTAGTGTTTATATCTATGGTCCTGCTGGTCAGTGCGGAGCCCCACGGACAGAGTTCTGCGTTTATTCGGGGGGTGAATTTGATCCAGCTAGCTTGTTCCGACCATGGCCGGAGGGGCCTCACACCGGCTCGTGTCTCGGTTCGACCGTGCTCGGGTGTAACAGAACCGAGCAGCGTCAGGTTCTGCGCAGACTGGGCCTGTTTGTTTTGGTTGTTTATCCGAGGCCTGCTGACGGAGCCAGCTAATGATTTTATTATGACCTAAAGCGCTGAATGGAGACACTGTCTTCAAGATAGGACACAAAGGAGACACTAGAGACGGAGACATATATGCTTTGACCTCTGCAGGAGACTTCTAGTCGAGTAAAATGTGGCTGAAGCTGTTCTTCCTGCTGCTGTACTTCTCGGTGCTCTTCCTGCTAGCCCGGCTCTTCGAGGCTGTGGTCTGGTACGAGACCGGCACGTTCGCCACGCAGCTCGTGGACCCGGTGTCCCTGAGTTACAAGAAGCTCAAGACCATCCTGGAGTGCAGAGGACTGGGACACTCCGGACTGGCTGAGAAAAAGGAGGTCAGCGAGCTGGTGGAGAAGTCAGGTAAACACCTCACCTGGGAGGACCGAACTGCATCATCCCTCGTGTTAGCAAAATACATTTAATCACCAGTGAGCTCTGGACTATCCTGAAATACCTCCGAGTCCCTCAAGACCTGATCCCAGACCAGTGGTCTACGTGGGTCAGAACTGTGTAAAAGACAACTAGCTTCAGTCAGAAGCTTCGGCTGCTAAATATTTATTGCATGTTGCAGTTTGGAAGACATGTTTGTAGTTTTCTTCTTTCAGCTGCTTCCTCACAGTGAAGTGACTCGCATGAAGACTTGGTGATTGTTTGTTCACCAGGTGTTCTTCCTGACACAACCACAGACCACCGAGCTACCACAGCCCTCTGTGTGGAGCAGAGCTGTCATCAGGGGTGCCTGGGGGGCAGCTGGTGGGGGTTAAAGGCCTTGCTCAAGGGCTCAGAGTGGGGCAAATGAGGGAGGAGGCAGGTGTGGATGCTTCACCTTTCCCACCCACATTTTGATGTTGGTCGGTGGGATCAAACTGGCGACCTCTAACCTCTGCTCCACCACTCCCGCTTGTTAAAACATTTATACCAAAAAAAACCCAGCATATTAAAAATAAATATAAATGCCAAGACATTTCTATAAACATTATTTTTTGAATTGGTGCAGATCACTAACCATTCAATTCAGTTTATTTATATAGCGCCAGATCACAACAAAGTTGTCTCAGGGCACATAAAAAAGCCAAGTAGTAAAGTTCTCCATCTAAGGAAGCAGCAGACAAGTTGAATCTTGGCTTCGTTGCAGTCTCCCATCCTGAGCAAGCACAGTGGCAACAGTGGAAAGGAAAAACTCCCTTTTAAAAGGAAGAAACCTCCAGCAGAACCAGGCTCAGGACAAGCGGCCATCTGCTTTGACCGGCTGGTTTGAGAGGACGGGAAGGAGAGACAAAAAAACCATAACCATAAAAAGTCTGAGTGTCAAAGGATCAACCATGATTATTGTTCACGAGTTATTCTGCTAACACTCATGGTTAAAACCAGTTTGTTCATAGTTTCAGCTGCTGGAGCTGATTCCTGTCAGTAAGATGTGATTCGTGTCAGTTCTGCACTTTTTTAATTTGTTGTTAATTTCTGTGATGAATCTGTTAAGAGCCTGCAGCAACTTGGATGTTTTATTTTATTCCCCTTCATTTAACCGTCAGGGGAGCTGACTCAGGGGGAGCTGTACTCGGCCATCAAGAAAGAGAAGGAGCAGACCGAAGCAGGAGACTCCACCACCACCGTCTTCAGCGGAGAGATACACTTCTATGAACTGGTGGAGGACACCAAAGATGGGATCTGGTTGGTTCAGGTGAACATATCCTCATAAAAAAAAATGGTTCCTGTTTTTATAAAGTGAAATCTGAAGTCGTACCTTGAAATGACTTCTGTTGGGAGTTCAAGGTTCTTTATTGTCATTCGCACCACATGTGGTACATGAGATGGGACGAAATTGTGTACACAGGGTCCTAGTTACTTCCAAAAATAGCAAAAATATAAAGTATTAAAAAAGAAACAAGGATCTAAGATATATGCTAAACAACAATAATATAATATGAGTATTAAACAGCAGCCTGAACATGAGTGTTGTGAGCAGATGGGTATGAATATAGCAGCTTATGGGTAAGAAATCAGTAGCATGGATAAAGTGACATATCACCAATTAAAGTGTCATTACAGTGATTTTTCTGGATTCATGAGTCTTAACAGCCTCAGGGTAGAAGCTGTTCCTCAGTCTAGTGGTTCTTCACTTAATGCTCCTCAACCTCCTTCCTGAGGGGAGTGGGGCAAAAAGTGTGTGTGCTGGGTGAGTGGGATCCTTCATGATGCAGGTGGCCCTCTTCCTGCATCTGGAGGTGTAGATGTCTGTGATGGTGAGGAGACTGATTACAAGTCTTCTGTGCAGCCTTCACCACTCTCTGCAAAGTTTTTCTTTCTGCAGCTGTGCAGCCTTCATGCCACACATTGATGCTGGAGTACAGGATGCTCTCCACTGCACACCTGTAGAAGGAGGTGAGGACTGAGCTTCCCAGACCAGCTCATCTCAGCCGCCTGAGGAAGTAGAGTCTCTGATGAGCTTTCTTGATCAGGCTGGTGGTGTTGTTGTCCCAGCTGAGGTTGTCATTTAGGTGCACCCCCAAGTACTTGAAGCTGGAGATCATTTCCACCGCAGATCCTCCTGTATTGTAAATGGACTCATTCCTGCAGGAACAGAGGAAGCAGAAACACCAACAAGCTTCAGGGTCAGCTGAAGACACATTGTCACAACTTGTGCAAGTTATCGCTCATTTAAATGGTAAATGGACTGTACTTATATAGTGCCTTTCTATCTTATGTCAAGATACTCAAAGCGCTTTACACCACAATCTGTGTCCTCATTTACCCATTCATACAGCACTCTACTAGATCTCTACAAAGCTAATTGAACAAATCATTCTAAAGAGACTAATCAGTGCTTTTTTTAAGATCACATTCATACACTGATGGGTCACACATCAGAGACTAGGAGGGGTTCAGTGTCTTGCCCAGGAACACTTCGACATGTGAGACAACATATATTTGTTGTATGTTACATTTATGCTCAACAGATCTTAAGCTTCATTTTATTTTATTTAGTTATTTTGGGAAACTTCACCTGCACTTTAGTTTTTTTGTGGTGGATTTATTAATCTATATTTTGTGCAGACTTTTTCAATCTAAATAACAGAAGGATCTTTTTTATTTTTATACTTGGGGACTGAATACTTTACTAAATAAAGTAATTTCAGTAAAATTACCCCTTGTTTTTTTAAGTTTTATAAAACTGCAAAGCAACATGTTAAGTTAATTGTGTCAAATAAATAACTATGATTTCTGTGTTTTTTTTAATATTGCGAAATTTATCGTTATCATCAGAATGCTCTGAAATATCACGATATTATATTTGAGCCATATCGCCCACCCCTAGTACCTACCCATCCAGGCTGTGATACTGTAAAGTTTGAAGTAGGGGTGGGCAATATGGCTCAAATATAATATTGTGATATTTCAGAACGTTCTGACAATAACGATAAATTTTGTGATACAACAAAAAAACCAAAAAAAAAACCAACAGAAATCATAGTTATTCATTTGACAAAATTAACTTAACATGTTGCTTTGCAGTATTATATAAAAACTAAAAATAACAATAAGGATTAATTTTACTGAAATTATTTTATTTAGTATTCTGTCACAAAGTATAAAACAAAAAAAACTTCTGTTATTTAGATTGAAAAAGTCTGCACAAAATATAGATCAATAAATCCACCACAAAAACTAAAGTGTAGGTGAAGTTTCCAAAAATAACTAAATAAAATAAAATGAAGCTTAATATCTGTTGAGCATAAATGTAATATACAACAAAATATATGTTGCCTTTTTAAATGAGCTATAACTTCCAGAACTTGTAACAAGGTGATCAGCTGACCCTGAAGCTTGTGGTGTTTCAGCTTCCTCTGTTCCTGCAGGAATGATTCATTTCTCTGATGCTCTGTCTCTCATCACCTGACTCTGTTCTTGGTCCACGGACTGTGGATCTCAAGAGACAGTTGAGCTGTGCTTGTTTGTACCGGCAGTTTAGAGCGGGGGAGACGCAGCCTGCACCGGCAGCTTAGAGCGGGGGGAGGGAGAGACAGTGAGTTGTCTGTACCTGCAGTTTAAAGCTGGATGCATTTTGTTTGTTTTTAGCATTTTAGCTAGCAAGTATTGCGTGCAGCTAATTAGCATCACACCAGTACTGACAGGTGGAGTGGAGGTGCGCAATTCGGTGTGGTTGTTAGGCGTGCTCCGTTCTGTTAATGGAGCGGGGCGCCCTGACGTATTACATCATGAAATTAGCATATATCATTTTTTTGCCCGGGCAAGCTTTTTTTTTTACCAGTATTATTATGAACGATATGATATGGCCCAGCCCTAGTAGTACGTAAGCAGAGTGAACAGGAGGGGGCTCAACACACAGCCCTGAGGGAAGCCAGTGCTGAGGGTTATGGTGGAGGAGGAGAAGTTGTGGATCCTGTGGACTGTGGTCTGTTTGTTAAGAAGTCTAGGACCCAGTTGAAAATGGAGGGGCTTAGTCCTAGTGTGAATAGTTTGTCCATCAGGGTTTGGGGGATCATGGTGTTGAAGGCAGATGTGAAGTCCACAAAGAGCATATGAACATAGGAGTCCTGCTCCAGGTGGGTGAGAGCAGTGTGGGGCGGCTGTGGCTGAGTGGTTAGAGCAGTCATCCTCCAATGCGAGAGTTGTGGGTTCGAATCCACCAGCAGTCACATGTCGAAGTGTCCCTGGGCAAGACACTGAACCCCTAGTTGCCTCTGATGTGTGTCCCATTGAATGCGATAAAGCTCTGATTAGTTTCATTAGAATGATTTGTTCAATTAGCTTTGTAGAGATCTAGTAGAGTGCTGTATGAATGGGTAAATGAGGCACAGATTGTAGTGTAAAGCGCTTTGAGTAGCTTGAAATAAGATAGAAAGGCGCTATATAAGTACAGTCCATTTACCACAGAGGAGATGACATCCTCTGTTGATCGATTCTCACGGTATGCATACTGGTGAGGGTCCTCGATGATGTTGATGGTTGTTTTGATGTGGGTCATGACCAGTTTTTTGAAGCATTTAGCGACTATCGGGGTGAGGGCTACTGGCCGGTAGTCATTCAGACCAGTCACTGTAGAGCTCTTAGGAACTGGGATGATGTTGGTGGTCTTTAGGCAGGTGGGAATTTTTGCCAGGGTGAGGGAGGAGTTAAGGATGTCGGCCAGCACCTCGCAGAGCTGATCAGCATATTAACTGATTAGCTTGCTTTCAACCTTTGTTCCATTATTGATCTGGGTTTTTTGTGTTTGCAGGTCATTGCCCAGAATCAGGAGGCTCTGCTCAGTCCGTCCAACTGGGGGAAGATGGTGCAGAAAGTTTCTCAGTTTGGGATAAGGACTGGAACTTTCAACTGTTCCAACGACAATAGGTAGGGGTGTACAGGTTTCCATCTCTGTCTTAGGTACTTTTTGTCACTTGTGCACAGAACGAGTTCAAGTTCAATTATGTTTGTCATTCGCATCATATGTGGTACATGAGGTGGCATAAAATTGTGTACTCAAGGTCCCAGTTACACCCTAAAATAGCACAAATATGAAGTATAAAAAGAAACGATATATAATGATTTAAGATATATGCTGGTGAAGATTCTCAGTCATCCAGGACATGATGAATTTAAAAAGCGTTCAATACAAAAACAACTGGACTTTATTTGTAACTTTGGATTTAAGATATACGCCAGACGAACACCAAACAATACTCTAAAAGATCTAAGATATACGCAAAACACTAATAATGTAAAATAATAGGGTATATTAAACGGCAGCCTGAACAGCAGTTCTGACAGTGCCTGTGAGAACATAATAAAGTAATTTTAATCATGCAATTGTGTCAGTGAAAACGGATTTCTTGAAGTCTCAGGGTATAATTCAGCCTTTAGCCTTAGCACTAGGCTTACTGTCGAATGTCCGATTCAGGAGGAGCAGTGCAGTGTCCTGATCATGAAACAGTAGACCTGATCTTCACCCTTGCAGAGTTGCTAAGGGGGCTATAGAAGTTTGACTTTCCAGTCTACATGTGTTTTCTGGACCTGGAGAAGACTTATGACTGTGTTCCTCGAGGTATTCTGGGGGGGTGCTAAGGGAGTATGTGGTGCCTGGGATGCTTTTGTAGGCCTATCAGGTCCTTGTAGAACCAAAGCCGGAGCTTGTGTCCACATTCTTGACACAAAGTTGAGTTCACAGGTGCTGGTCATAAAATTAGAATATCATGAAAAAGTTGATTTATTTCAGTAATTCCATTCAAAAAGCGAAACTTGTATATTCATTCATTACACACAGACTGATATATTTCAAATATTTATTTATTTTAATGTTGATGATTATAACTGACAAATAATGAAAACCCAAAATTCAGTATCTCAGAAAATTAAAATATTGTGGAAAGGTTCAATACTGAAGACACCTGGTACCACACTCTAATCAGCTAATTAACTCAAAACACTTGTAAAGGCCTTGAAATGGTCTCTCAGTCTAGTTCTGTAGGCTACACAATTATGGGTCAGACTGTTGACTTGACAGTAGTCCAAAAGACAACCATTGCACAAGGAGGGCAAGACACAAAGTCATTGCTAAAGAGGCTGGCTGTTCACAAAGCTCTGTGTCCAAGCACATTAACAGAGAGACGAAGGGAAGGAAACGATGTGGTAGAAAAAATTGTACAAGCAATTGGGATAACTGCACCCTTGAGAGGACTGTGAAACAAAACCCATTCCATAATGTGGGGGAGATTCACAAAGAGTGGGCTGCAGTTGAAGTCAGTGTTTCAAGAACCACCTCGCTCAGACATGTGCAAGACATGGATTTTAGCTGTCGCATTCCTTGTGTCAAGCCACTCTTGAACAAGCGACAGCATCAGAAGCGTCTCACCTGGGAGTGCTGCTGAGTGGTCCAAAGTTATGTTCTCTGATAAAAGTAAATTTTGCATTTCCTTTTGAAATCAAGGTCCCAGAGTCTGGAGAAATAGATGAGAGGCACAGAATCAATGTTGCTTGAGGTCCAGTGTAAAGTTTCCACAGTCAGTGATGGTTTGGGGGTGGGCATGTCATCTGCTGGTGTTGGTCCACTGTGTTTTCTGAGGTCCAAGGTAAATGCAGCCGTCTGCCAGGAAGTTTTAGAGCATTTTATGCTTCCTGCTAGAGCTGGGCAATATCTCGATATTTTAAAAATATCACAATCTTTGTTTTTTTGGGGGTTTTTTGCGATAAAAGATGAGACTATATCAATATAAACAATATTGTGTTATACTTGAAAATCCGCCTGCTGTCTTCTTTCTCCCACGCAGCCCCTCCTTCTCCCTTCTTGAATACAAACCCAGCCCGTCAGCCGCATGCTTCCCCAGCTTCCTGCTTCTCCAGCAGATGGGCAGGAGACATTTGGCACAACAAGTAAACACGGGAGATGTATGAAGAACTGCTGAGCTAGCAGAAAAACAATGGCTGTTCTTTTAGAGATGGTTTGGATTTAAATTGCCAGATGAGGGGCAGAAAAATGAGTTCTGTAGACAATGCTGAAAACAATCTTACAGTCTTAAAAATAATAGGGATGGGGCCGATCCGATCCAGTATCGGTATCGGCCTCCGATACCAGCATAATTTACGTATCGGATTTTTCCGATCCACCTGCTGATATTTCCGATCCATGATGCATGTTGGCTTCAAACTGGAATGGATTTCCTGAACGGAGGCGTGTCTCATGAACCCAGAGTAATAAGACCTGCCTCACATTCAGGAACTCCATTTCATAGTTTGCAGCCAGCTACAACGTGAGGACTGAGTTAGCAGCACTGTGGCTAACAGCTAACAAACTTTTCATCTAAACATGTCTGCTGTGTGGAAGTATTTTACACTAGAAACGCCACAAAACAAGACAGCATCGTACAATGTCTGCAGAGCCATAGCGCCACATTAAACCGTGGTAAAGTTAGTTTTACGTTGGACATTCGAGCTCCGTGGCTTCAGCGTGGCGCTGCTCTTTGCTCAACCCACAACAAGCGACTCGACCCCGGCCAGCTGCGTCCAATCTGCCCCGCTCAGTCTGCCCGTCTCTGAGGAGGGGCAGACTGAGCGCGGCTGCCCCAAATCAGGCTGCTTGCTTCGGATTGAACAAGAAGAAGACATCGCTGAAAGCACGGAGCTCAAATGTTTACAGAGAAGTTGCTAAACTTCATCATAATTAATGACCAACCACTATCAGTTGTAGAAAATGAAGGCTTTCTCAGTTTGATTCTTGCAGCCAAGATATAGTTTACCCTCCAGGAGATATTTATCAGTACAACAGTACAGTCATAAAAAAAACATATGATTTGAAAATTATATATATTAAAAACAAAAACAGCTACATTATAAAGTGATGTAAAATACTAAAAACAGGAACATGTCTGTTGGTTTATTCCATGAACTTAGCAGGTGTTTGAAGACATTTAACATTTTATTTAATTTAATTCATTTATTCATTCATTTACAAGAAACAATATTTAAAAAAAAAAAAATAATCAAAAAGAAAACATTGAATGAAAAGAGTGCAGAAAGAAAAAAAACATTCTTATATCTGCCCCTTATTTAAAAAAATATAAAATAACTTTAAACAATCACTTAAATTCAAAAAAGTTCAATCTGGTCCAGAGGACCAGATTGAACTTTTTTTGATTTTTCTACCTGGATTATTGAGCATGCATCAGGAAATCACTTAAGTTAATCACTTTAATATCCACTTTAAAGCTAGGAATAAAAAAACATGTTTTTTGTTAGCAGAATTTAATTCTAACTTTAATAATAACAATAATAATAACGTCATCACAATGCCAGCACTGTATGTTTCCATAGAGTGGCGAAATTAGTCTCTGCATTTAACCCATCCACCACCAGGTGGTGCAGTGGGCAGCTATTGAAAGCACCTGTGGGGCATTAAAACTTATCCAACATTAATAAAACTTACCTCAAGCTGCCTTTTTGGACATGCATGCATATATTTGTACAAATTGTACTTGAGAGGAGATTATTACAGCCTCATATAAAATCAATGATGATCATGATATGGGAACTGGATCGGTATCGGCCGATATTCAGGTTTTTTTTTTTTTTTTTTTTTAAGGTATTGGGATCGGATCAGAAGTAAAAAAAAGTGGATCGGTGCATCCCTAAAAAATAAATCTATCTTATCTATCTTAAAAATATCAAGATATTCATTTTGGTCCATATTGCCTGCTCTACTTCCTGCTGCAGACCAACTTTATGGAGATGCAGATTTCATTTTCCAACAGGACTTGGCACCTGCACACAGTGCCAAAGCTACCAGTACCTGGTTTAAGGACCATGGTATCCCTGTACTTAATTGGCCGACAAACTCGCCTGACCTTAAGCCCATAGAAAATCTATGGGGTATTGTGAAGAGGAAGATGTGATACACCAGACCCAACAATTCAGAAGAGCTGAAGGCCACTATCAGAGCAACCTGGGCTCTCATAACACCTGAGCAGTGCCACAGACTGATCGACTCCATGCCACACCGCATTGCTGCAGTAATCCAGACAAAAGGAGCCCCAACTAAGTACTGAGTGCTGTACATGCTCTACTTTTCATGTTCCTACTTTTCAGTTGGCCAACATTTCTAAAAACCCTTTTTTTAATTGGTCTTAAGTAGGAATGTGCGATATGGCATAAAATTCATATCATGATATGTACTGTGAAGGGTGGCGATAACCATATATATTGCGATATGTTTTTGGTATAAAACTTGCAATAGGAATTATAAAAGCATAGGGTGTCCTTTTGCCATCATATATTTTGTATTAAGAAAATGCCACTGGACTTCCGCTTCCGGTATGCCCGAGTAGAGACGCTTGCAGACTACGCTCCGACCGAAATAACTTTTAATTTGCCTGCGGTAAAAATACGAATCCACCAAAACAACCAGAAAACACTATTAGAATGTCTTCAACACAAAAAACGACAAGACGAGAAACGAAGACGGGAAAAGGCGAGGATATGAAGATGGCACAAAAACAGCTAACGCTAGATGCTAGCTTAGCTCAGAACGACTCCGGGAGTGAAACATTACTGCTAACGGAGCTCCGCAAATTTCGGGAAGAGTCTAGAATTGCACAACAAGACATTCTGGAATCTCAAGCACAGATGGAGGCATCAATTGGAGAAATGAAAAAGAAAATTGACACACTGGAGGAGAGAGTGAGTAGTACTGAAGATCGAGCTATACAGCAAGAAAGAGCGTTAGCTTACTTGCTTAAAAAAGACGCCAGACTGACTGCTAAACAAGACGACATAGAGAACAGATTGCGCAGGAACAATATAAGAGTGTATGGGATAAAAGAAGAGTCAGAGGGAAAGGAGATGATCCCGTTTATTACAGATTT